CCCTTAAAACTTGCCTAATAAATATTTGTTGAATGAACTAATTTAATCCCCATAACAAGCATAGGAGTTAAACATTAAAATTTTATAAATGAGTTTACCAGGATAAAATGATCTGCCATACCACCGGTAAGTGACAGAATCAGTGTTTAAGCATAGGTCTGTCTACTTCCAAAGTTCGGTACACTTTCCACCTCATTACTGACAAAACGGCATGGCCAAAGCATTACTGAATAATTATAAAAGCATAATACCACACATACATATTTTCTCCATCATCTTCCTTACCCATAGTTTGTAGTTTCCTGAGCCTTAGGGCCAAATAAATAAGACCAATATACATTAAATCTATATCTATATCTGTACCTATGTTTATATCTTTATTCTTACTTTAATCTCTATATTTTTATATCTGTATCTATAGATTTAATATTTGGACTACACTTGATGCAATTAAACCACTAGATTGAATCTTTAACTTTTAAACTTTTTCCTACGTTTACTGAGATATAATTGACATAACATTGTTTAAATCCTGAACACAAAATGCCTTAATTGTACAAGTCAGAAGACTACAGTTAACTTATTTAAAAAAGACACAGGTAGAATATGAAACCAATTTTAGGCACTCAGACATGTAGCATACGTGAGTATATCAATTTGTATTTCTTCTTTTTTAAATGCATAAAGAAATTTTAAAATGTGAGGGAAAAACAAACATAAGACATCCTGTTCTCCTTTGCCTTAAGAATCCCTCATCAAAAAAAAAAAAAAAAAAAAAAAAAATCCCTCGTTTCACTTCTCCCCACACAGGAACAAGCCCTGGCTGTTGTGTCGCTCACACACAGCCCCGATGTCCGGCAGGCCCCTGTTGTAGGCTTTCAGGATCCAGTTCCATCGCTGCTCACACACATCTGCTTCCCTTCACAAGTCAATAATCTATGGCAGCTGTTTTCTAAAAATAGGCACTAGGAAAGCCAGAGAAGTTCTGAATGCAGATTCAACGGGCTGCACATCTGTCCATGTTTTCGTAGCTTGCCTGGGGTTTTACCATCATCATGATAATCAGGGAACTCAAAGGAGCCAACTACTATTGTGTCGCATTTTCTCTCTTCCGATGCTCGGGGCAGAATTTTTTAAAAATCTGTGTAGAGGAGACCGACACTGCATACTAAGAAGCTATTAAAGGATAAGACAAACAGCATCCATACCATTTGCCTGCCTTAAAAGCTTAATGTTTACTGTAATCTGACATTGTGATGATGGATGGGAACACCATGATGCAGAGAATCTCAAGGCTTTACAACCATTGAAAGATTATTCAACTCACTAAAAAGATAAAAGTAAATGAAAAATGATATAATAAAGCTGAACTTTGCAGCTTCTCAACTGCCAGATCTTGCAATAAAAATATATCTAAATTTTAATAATCAACATAAATCTTCAAGAAAAAAGAAATAGATTGCTCCCTGAAACTATAAAGAGGCTAGACTGTACCTTATCCATAACCAATAAGAACCAGAAATGTGTCCTCAAAGGGCTTAATTTTGGGTACTTGAACATGAACTGAGGATAAGCAAGGTAGTATTAGTTAGTGTAAAATATAGTCTTGCTTACATCAGTGTAATTTAAAGCAAATATTCCTTTTTTAATATTAAACAATAGAGGAATGAAGGAGATAAAAATAATAGCCACTATTTATGGAGTGCTTTTAGTGGCCACTTTAATTTTTGTCTCAATTAATCCTAACAAAAATACGTACTCCAGATTGTATGATTTGTTAGAGGGAGAACTGAAATTCAAATCAAATTTATTACAAAGTGAAGTTCATGGTCTTGACTCAAGCTCTTCTGCATTCAAAAGAATCCAAAACATACACTATGCATCACATATAAAGAATCCAAGAAGTGATTAGCAGTTATTAAAGGAAAACAAGAAAAGCTCATCAGAAATGGCCTTACCAACTTCCATTACCAAAAGAGTGGACGCAGATACAGAACATTTTTTATGCTTAGTTGTTTTCCTTCAGAACTCCAGAGTTCTCCATTACTGCCTCACTAGCTCCAGTCATTTGGAAATGCATGAGCTCCAATTATATTAAGAATATTTATAAAGTTAACAAACATTGACTTCTTTAAATGACTCACAGGAATCTCCACAGGATATGCAAAAATGGGATATATGTTGAAGAAAATCTTTCCAGAAAAAAAAAAAGGGGCAGGCACCTGGGTGGCTCAGTTGGTTAAGCATCTGACTTCAGCTCAGGTCATGAATTCATAGCTTGTGAGTTCGAGCCCTGGGTCGGGCTCTGTGCTGACAGCTCAGAGCCTGGAGCTTGCTTCGGATTCTGTGTCCCTCTCTTGCTCTGCCCCTCACCCACTCATGCTCTGTCTCTCTCTCTCTCTCACGGATAAATAAAACATTAAAAAACTTTTTAAAAATCTTTCCTACAAATGACAGCTGTACTCTGTGCAAGCTTCCAGCCTCACTATGTGCTAAACCACAATATAAACAAGACATACACTGATTTTTAAAAGATGCCCACGTTCCTTGAAGGCAATGTGTTGAACATATCAGGACCACTGTGCAAACTGATTTCAAAACTTGGTAATAGTCTATAGAGATACAGATATATTTAAAACTCTATTGTTTCTATTCATAGTAACTAATTCTATTCCCTTCTCTGCCAGGTACCCCCAATTTTCCTTCTTGTCAAATAATCACCCATTTATTTAGCTTGTACTATGTTGTCAAGCTCTATGATATATACTTTGTATACATTATATCATTTATTTCTTTATATAATCCTATATAGTAGGTAGTATTATATCATTCTCATTTTACAGATGAAGAAAAAGTAGGCAACTGCCTCAGTTACACCGCTAGCAAGGGACAAAAATTGGATTTCAACCCAGTTCTATCTCACTCTGGGGCCCATGCTCTCATCCATGGAGCTATGAGAGGCAGATGGGATGCCAGAAATAATCTAATCTCAAATCCTCATTTTATAGATAGGGATGCTTTAACCCAAAGTTTAAGTGACATGTTCAAGGTCACACTTTAATTATTGGGTAGAGTCAGGGCTAGAACCCAGAGCTTACTTTGTTATGCTCCTTCTAATTATCCCATGTGGCCTTTTTCTAAAAATTTGAAAATAGAAATGTATTTTGATTCTCTACACAAGTTAAGTATTCCCATAAACCGTCAATCTGATTCGCTGTACAATATCCAGGAGTTCCTGATATCTCTGAAGCCTCCAAAGGTTGCTAACTCTTATAACCATGGCTGATTTAGAATGATGAACATTTTTAAAGTAAAATAACATACACTCCATAACTTGCTAGGGTTCTTACTATTAGTGGTTCAATGATGTTTCTCCTTTACATTTTATTTATTTTTTAATTATTATCACTGTAAGTAAATGTTATTCCCAATGTGGGGCTCAAACACACAACCCCAAAATCAAGAGTCACATGCTCTACCCAATAAGCCAGCCAGGTGCCTCTCTCCCTTACATTTTAAATTTGATTCACGATCATTCTTTAATATGCTGGTTCTCAAACCTGGCTACATATGGTAATCACCAAGGTTGCTTTTAAAATGCCCAGTGCCATAAACTGAGGGCTGATGGGGGTGGGGGGGAGGGGGGAAGGGGGATGATGGGCATGGAGGAGGGCACCTGTGGGGATGACCCCTGGGTGTTACATGGAAACCAACTTGACAGTAAACTATTTAAAAGAAATGCCCAGTCCCTAGGCTATGTCCCCCATTAGTTAAACTGAAAACTCTGGGAGTGGGCTCTAGGCATCAATATTTTTTAAAATGCTCAGGTGATTCTAATATGCAATCAAGTCTCAGAACCAGGGTTTTAATTCTTCAAACCTTAAAATAACATTTCACGGTATATTAGATCAAAAGAGCTAAAGACAATCTCTAACACTGTCATCAACTATATTAATCCACCATCCTCAAAAAATTACTAGAGGAGGGGCGCCTGGGTGGCTTAGTAGGTTAAGCGTCCGACTTTCGCTTAGGTCATGATCTCGCGGTTCGTGGGTTCGAGCCCCGCGTCGGGCTCTGTGCTGACTGCCAGCTCAGAGCCTGGAGCCTATTTCAGTCTGTGACTCCCTCTCTCTCTGACCCTCCCCTGCTCACGCTGTCTCTCTCTCCTAGAAATAAATAAAACATAAAAAAAAAATTAAAAAAAAAAATTACTAGAGGAAAATATCTAAGTGAATTCAGAAAAACTCTCTAATCACAGAACACCAGCATCAGTTAAACAAATTCCTTTTAGGTGATGATACAGAAAAACACACGGACATCCTTAAGTACACATACAGAAAGAGTAACCTGAGACACCAGCCAAAATGAGCTCACAACCATGGACACGTACTCATCGTTGTTTCCACAAACACATCACAAAGTAACAAACCACACTCATAGATTAAGTCAGCTGATTACAGTCCTTTTCAAAGCTAATTTTACGCTTTTTCCTTGATTTAGGTGATTAGTAAATAAAAACTGTTTGCATTTCAAACACGTTTAAATATCACAAGTTTTATATTCCATAGCAGAAGACAATGTGACTGATTAGTTATGAGGTCACATGGGCAATCGAAAGGTTTTAATCTCTATGTTACGACATAAAATTAATAAACTTATTCATTGTTCTTTCTAGTTATAAAAACTTAGCTATATTTGTTTCTTATTTTTATCAGAATTAACCCATCTGTTTTTAATCTTCCCCAATTCTCTGTTCCTCATGGAAAAATGTTTTAGCTCTGATCCTGCCTTTTTAGTCCTCTAGTAAACAGGCAAAGACAAATAGTTCTCCGTAGCTGCTTTACCAAAATTTGACCAAAATATTAAATATTATGAAAATGTTCCCTTATTGTTGTAATAATTATATCATGCTCTCATAGCAATTCAACAAGCCTTTTCTTAATATTTTAAAGATAACTATTCTGAACGAAGCATAATTCAGAAGAAAAATGTCTACTTACGGGTATCATCCAGTTAGCGAGGTCGCCATATTTGGAAACCTGCATTGCTCCCAGCATTGTTAGATTGACATGGCCCCTGAGAGAGAAAAAGGAAATAGAAAGCAAACCTTGCAAGCTTTATGTCCCATTTGCTTGAAACTGTGAGAAATTAGAATAATTTTATAGCCACCAAAATAAATTTGCTTTCTCCTACCCGACACCTGATTTCAAAATCAATCAGCTCAAGCTGATGCAGAGAAATAACCATTAAGAGTTCTCTTTAAAAAATTATAGTCTATATTGTCTCCAAAAAGAAATTAAAAACAGGTGTACACAGTGAGTCTGTTTCCTTCAGTGAGGGGGAATGTGGCTTGATTTGAAGGCAAACGCTAGCTAGAAAATGAAAACAGTTTTGCAGAAAATGTTGGGATCCATAGAAAGAACTTTAAAAATATTTACCTCAGTATACTTGGCACACATATATAAATCCCATTTGGGAGGGTTTTTTTTTTTAATAACAGTGAGCTGAATGTTCCAATGCCCAACATTCAATGTGAATAATTTCACATCTTGGTGCAACTGAACGAGCCCATGACCATTTTCTGGCCGGGAGATGTGGCTGTGTTTCGGAGCCTTGCTAACACGCTCAGGGGATGACTCAGTTCATTCCACGCCACGTGAAACACGAGGGACTCCGTTGTTACATACCCTCTAATCATTGCAAATGACTCATCGCTGGAGAAGTAAGAAGCTCCTGGAAGAACAGTAACTGTTTCCTTGCCTAAACACACATACACAAGAAAGGAAACAAAGGAAAGAAAAGGCTATTAGATTTCTAAGAATGGAAATCACGTAGAGAGAGGTCTATACTTTCTCTGTTTCCTAAAGAACTAAGACCTCTTTAACCAAAGGGCAGTGGCAGCGGGAGATCCAGTGGGAACTGTCACCCTGTGAAGAGGAGTATTCTGTCACAAGCATTGTTCAGATTTGCCCTGGCATGGTGATAACAAAAAGCAGACCAACTTTGAATTTTACTGTTGTTTTTGTAATTCTCTACACCCCTTTCACCTCTAACCATTCCTGCCTCTCCGCAGCCTCAGTCCCTCCACAAGCCCCTGCTAAATGCTGATGACAGTAAGGGGAAAATGGAGTCCCTGGGATGCATCTAGCAATACTGTAAGTCACCGGAGCAAAGATATGCAACTTGGAAGGGAATGACACAGGAGAGGCTCCTCAGATATTTCTTAAAACAAAACAAAAAAAACTCCATAAATAATCTAGAAAGTTACGTCCTCTGCCCATAATTCTTTAATATCATTAGGCCTGAAACTCTTCTTTTAATCTCTCTCTGCCTCCTATTTTCTCCCTTGCTCCTCTAAGTTTCTGTTAAAATCACAGGACTTGGATGAGGTCAGGCAGTAACATCCTAATACTGGCTCATGTATTTAATGATAACTCTTTTTTCTTTTTTTTTTTTTAATGGTAACTTCTAAGAGGTCCTCTTAGAAAGATCTCTACCAAAACTTATACCTCATAATTAAAGTTTAGAGCAGGAAAGGATCTTCAAGTTCATCCAGTCCTCACACAACCAATAGTATCACCTGACTCATATTTCAGCTTTCTTTTCATGACCTATTTCCTGTGTATACAGTGCCCAGAAGAAGCTGGCCTCAACCAGAAAAGGGCTCACATGCCACTTTGCCAAATAGAAGTCAACTGTATGAGAACATCCCATGCATTATCCCAGTGTAATCAAGCAGTCAAACAAGGGGAAGAAAAGTTATGATTCCAGGGTTGGGAAAGAGAAAAGCTCCCAGACAACAGGACCAGGGTGGTCAGATCATGCCCAGCTGTGCAACACAGCTGTCCCCTCAGCTTCTCAAGCCTTGCCTGAAAGCTAAATTCTCCACCAATATCCCTCTCCATTTGAGCTCAAGTAGAGAGAAAGGTTATTTACATCATGCTGAAATATTTATTTCCAAAAGGAGTTTCATTCTAAACAGGGGAAACATTTTCACATCTTTCAAAATACTGTAAGATGAAAAGCTTTGGAGAATACTTTCTGGTGTGGTCAGTAGGGGCTTTTAGATTAAGATTTGGAGGATTAAATGAAAAAATGTATACAAAGTCCTTACTCTGGTACCTGGCACAGAGAAAGGACTCCATAAACATAAGCTTCATTACTGTCACTGTTACAGTCTTCACTCCAAACCTACTTGTAAAAGAGATAATGCCATTGCCCTCTAGGAATAAGTGCTACCCAGTAATTGGCTTATATGGTGGACTTATACACCAGCCTGGGAACTCTAAGCTTTAGGACAAGCATGATACAACAAAACTTGATCCTAACACAACTTCCATATCTGGTATATTTGGTTCCTCACCAGTCCTATGGGGTCCAAGGGACGAGAATGTATAGGACAAAAAAGCAGAGAAACATAAAAATCTCAATTCCTTGTTCTCCATGTGCTAAATCACAATGACTTTCAAAGGGCAATCTCCACCAACTGACAGTACATAGAAGGCGTTATTTACCACTCGGTGCGAGAGATCGGTGGGAGATCGGTGCGAGATCCTTTGCTCTCCCCATGTGATTTATGAAGCATAGTTTTATTTAAGAGCCCAGAAAACAACTCTCATAAAAAATAGTTATTGTCAGACACCTGCTAATATATTCTGGCATCTTATAAATTACGTTCTCTGGAAGCCAAGTTAGTTGTCAGTATTTTTAAATATCTAATATCTTAATAAAAATCGATATCCTAAAGTTGAATCCATGCTTTTCAAATACAGTGTCCAAATTTGGTCAACAAATAACTGTTATCAACAATACTATTAATATCTTAAAGGAAAATAACTTCCTTATTTGACTATTCCCTATTGATTTCTGTTTCCTCCAGTTTTTCTCTGCATTTGTCTAGTTCCTTTCATGATACTGGGGCAAACACAGTTATTCAATTTCATAGTTACTGAATCCTTTGGCTCATGATTTAACATGTTGCTTATTCAATATCAAGTAAATGTCTGCTGTGTGCCTTGAACAGTGTTACAAACCAAACACGATGTCCTAAGCTATTGGTTCTCAAACTTTAACACCCAGCAGAATCACCTGGAAGGCAGATCTCTGAACTAAACTCCCAGAGTTTGTAATTCAGTGGGCTTGTGATGAGTCCCGAGAATCTCTGTTTCTAACAAGTCTCCCGTGATGCTGATGCTGATGCTGGACCACACTTCAAGAACCACTGCTCAAAGCAAAAGGAATAAATATACTATTCAGGTAGAGAGACAAATATATGTGAATAATTACAAGGCAAAATGAAAGACACTAAATGTGTTACAGGTTCAAAGCAGGGGCATTTCTGAGGTTTTGGAGAGGAAAAATGAACTGGAGCCTGAAGGACAGGTGTAACACATTTCAATAGGAAATTAGTGATAAGGAGGTGGAGATGCAGAAAGGGACAAAACAAACAAATTTGATGACACATGCAGGGAAGAGCAAAGGCATGGAGAAGGGAAAGCACGAGGCATGATCAGAATACACCAACTGGGGCACCTGTGTGGCTCAGTCAGTTAAGTGTCCCACTTCAGCTCAGGTCACGATCTCATGGTTCATGAGTCAAGCCTCGTGTCAGGCTCTGTGCTAACAGCTCAGAGCCTGGAGCCTGCTTCAGATTCTGTATCTCCCTCTCCCTCTTCCCCTCCCCTGCTCATGTTCTGTCTCTGTCTCTCAAAAATAATAAATGTTAAAAAAAAATAAAAAAAAAATAGAATAGACCCATTAGTTCAGTATGGGTGGACACAGAAGTCCTTGAAGGGTATAGGAGAAGATAAAGCTGGAGAGGGCAGTCGCAGCCATTAGATAGATCTTGAATGCTGTACTATTTGTACCTTAGTCTGCAGGCCTGTGATTCTTCAGCTGTGACATGAGGACCTCGAGAGAAGGCACTATTGACATCTGGAACTGGGTAACTCTTTGAAGGGTGCTGTTCCATTATCGTAGGGTAATTAATAGCATCCCTGGCCTCTACCTACTACTTGCCAATAACACTGGCAATACAAAATGTCTTCAGACATTGTCAAATGTCCCCAGAGGAGTAAAATCCCCCGCTTGCTCATTCAGAACCACTGCCCTAGAAGCACATGACAGGGGCCAGGGATATTTATAAGCCGTGAGGTTAACATGGTGGTTCTTTCTAAAGCAGTTTTAATCAAAGGTAAGTCATTAAACATTGATATTAAATATTAAAATAAGAAAATTAAAATAAGAAAACATGGGGCACCTGGGTGGCTCAGCCGGTTAAGTGTCCAACTGTTGGTTTTGGCTCAGATCATGAGCTCGCAGTTTTGCAGGTTCAAGCCCTGCATCAGGCTCTGCACTGGCAGCATGGAGCCTGCTTGGTACTCTCTCTCTCCCCCTTCTCTCTGCCCCCTCTACTCATGCTGTCTCTCTCTAAATAAATAAACTTAATAAATATTTTAATTAACTAAGAAAACACAATTAAGAAATAGAGAAGAATACGAAATGTACATGAATATGAAAGCTAAGGGGCATCTGGGTGGCTCCATCGTGTCAGTTAAGCATCTGACTTCTGCTCAGTTCATGATCTCATGGTCTGTGGATTTGAGACCCGCATTGGGTTCTGTACTGACAGCTCAGAGCCTGGAGCCTGCTTTGGATTCTGTGTCTCCCTCTCTCTCTCTCTCTCTGCCCTTCCCCTGCTCACACTCTGTCTCTCTCTTGAAAATAAACATTAAAAAATGTTTTTAATTAAGAAGAAAAAGAAAGCTAAAACATGAAACTGATTGGAAGTTGTACAAGTGCACTGGAATATTGCAAACCTTACCAGGACCTCTGAAATGCTGCTGTCAGCACTGCCTTCTGTACCTTTGTAAAACTCAGGTCAGCAGTGAGTACAGTTCAATGAGTAGAGGAAAAGGCCAGGGGCCAGGACAGCAGACTGTGTGTGAGTCCAGTCCCTAGCAATGGATCTTGAGCATATCACATCACTCCTCTGTGCCTCAGTTTCCCAGTTTATACAGTAAGTTTTTACTTGAGGCTCAAATATGTGTATAATATGTGTAAGAAATTATCCTGCAAACCAAACAGTGCTGTGCAAGTGGCAATTCATTTTTACATAACCCATGAAATCATTATTTAGAAAAAGGGATCCTTAGAAATAGTTGTGTTATTCTGGGGCACCTGGGTGGCTCAGTTGGTTAAACATCTGACTTCGGCTCAGGTCATGATCTCATGATTCGTGGGTTTGAGCCCCGCATTGGACTCTGTGCTGACAGCTAGCTCAGAGCCTGGAGCCTCCTTCAGATTCTGTATCTCCCTCTCTCTCCGACCCTCCCTGCTCATGCTGTCTCTCTCTCTCAGAAATAAATAAAACATTAAAAAAATTTAAACAAAAGAGAAATAGTTGTGTTATTTTAAAATTTTAATACAGTGATTATACCCAGAAATGTAGCTCATGGTATTCATTCCAGAGGATTTTGTAAAACTCCTTTCGAATTAACACAAACAATAGGCTGATCTTGTAGGTAACTTCCAAATCTGAGGAGTTGAGGAGACCACAAATAGTTTTCTGAGTTCTTAGCTCAAACTATTTCCTCCCTAATTTAGGCAGCTCCAAAATCAAAAGCAACCTAAGTCCCAAAAAGAGCTTTGGTGAAGGAGCTAAAATATCATTAAACTGATTTGCAGCTTGGCTTCCCAAAAGCAATGAATTATTGTTTTACAAAGCATTATACAATGCACTTTAGAAGTTAAATAATAAAACAAGTGGCTTCATTAGGGTTGAGCCACTTTTAAGCTCGTGGAATCAGAAATGCCTACTGTCCAACAGTCATTGGAAAGATTAACTACTTTTCCAATGAGAGTGGGTTTTATGAACTAAGGCCTAAAATTTGGAAAATGGAGTTATTCATTTTGCAAATAACTCACTAACATCATAAAGTAATTAAACCAAGCAGCAAATATTTTCACAGATCAATGAGCTATTGCTAAAGGGTACAGTACAATTAAATTACAGCCTTAGTTAAATATCATTGCTTTATCACAGTGGGCCTTTCAGGGTTGAGTCGTGTTAGCTAATTCAACTATTCAACCAGAAGCAGTTTTACTTCCAAAAATTCTAAGTATCAAACATCAATTCTGCTTGGCAGCTGGCCTTTATGTTCAGCTAATACTGCTTCTCTTCTGAGATTTACATGTACTATTTTTGAATGTGAAATAAGAATAATACTTTTGTGGGGGTAGAGTGAAAAAGAGTAAAAGGGCAATGAAAATCATACTAGAATATAAAAATCAGCTTCTTATGCACAGTCCCACTCTAAGGATAATCTTCAGCCCCAACGGGGTGGCAGTGTTACCTCAGGCAACTGGGCAGTGACAATGGCCAATAGGTCTGGCTTGTTTTTTCTCCTCTAGGCTGCTACCACATGCAACTCTATGTCGCAGTCAAAATTAATAAGAAAAAAAAAAAAAAAAGGCAAGGCATATGCATGTGGGAATAAAGAAGACAGGTTGAGTCCCAGTTCAAAAAAAAACTCTTATTACTCACATCACTGGGTCACATTGAGTGGCAGAGTACATCATTAAGCAACCTTGAACCTTTGAAGGATGCTCTCCTACTCCAATGACAACTAGAGGACAGTAAGTATTGTTCAGAACAAAAACCCCAGTGTGCCAGATCTTTTCTTTTTGCCTAGATGTATCCACTTGTCATCCTTCTCATTGTAAGAAAGCAGACATTTAAACCTGGGATTGGCCAATGGAAGGCACAAGCAGAAGATCCACCTGAAGAGACTCCCATCCCTCATCCAGAATTCTGCAAGATGGCTGTGTTCCTATTAGGCAGCCCTCTCCCACTACTGTCCCTTAAGGCCTCAGGGTGATAATAACTCCCTGTGGTGCTTCACCATCCTTTCCTGGTTTCCCTCAATCGTGTTCATACCCTTGTAAGCTGTTCTTTCCTTTAATTCTCATGATAACCCTATCTGGAAGTGCTCTCTATATATAGCCAGGACCCTGACTGATTTACCCACCAAAGCTCCTGCCACTATATGTAGCCCCACCTACAATTTTTCCCTTATCGTATTCTTCCCTAAATAATAAATGATGAGCACACCAGACAAAGAGACTGGGAAGTCTTCTCTCCCTTCCTCAGTGAAAAACACAGTGGTAATCAAGCCCAACTCCTTATTCTTACTTGCCAAAAAACTAAATAGCAAAGGAAAACACTGGAAAAACATGTAATGAGGGAGTTTACCTGCATTGATTAGATCTGCATCGACTTCATTTTGTGACGGATATGGGCCCTGTCAAAAGCACAAGTTCAATTAGTAAAAGAAGTTTCTCACTGAATCACACACTAAAATTGTAATATAAATGACTTCTCTAAAAACCTTGGGAAATTACTATCAAAAGACTTGAGGGGAACCTTTTAAAAGTAATTCCAATGTTTTCATGGCTATTTCTTACATTGATTAGTCTTTCCTACACTAATAACTGTGATAAATAAAAACTATATCCAAAAAGTTACCAAAGTTTGAAAGAAATGTTAAGCTATTAGAAACATAGGTCAAAAAAACAAAGTAATCATTTAGTACCTATTATGCAACCAATGTTATTCATAAATCTTCCTGGTAGTTATCAGTGACTATAAACAAAATGGCTGCTGACTGGATGGGAAGGATCTGGAGAGGCAAAGTTTCATCTTTTTGGTATACCGCATCTAAAGGCCCCAATCTGGAGCCCTAACTTTCTGTCTCACAACACCTAGGTTTTGAAGCTCTTATTTTTCCTTTGCCTGGTTACTCTCAGTTTTGCTTTTTAATTTTGTATGTATTTTTACAAGGCATCTCTACATGACTTGAATGGGGTGAGTAGTTTCATAACATAACACATAGTAAACAAAACAGGAGGAAATAGAAAAAGTGGGGGGAAAGGCAGAAGACAGAACCAAAAGTGAGGAAATCGGAGTTGGAAAATTCTAACATACTTTCAGAAAGAGGGACCAAACATATATTGTTTAGATAAACTGAAGTGGCAACTAATGTTTTAGGACTGTGTAAATTTTCCTTTAAACAGTGACCATGGGTAAGATATATCATTTCCCTTGTCTTCAAAGTGAGGGAACTGGTCACTCTAAAAATAATCACATTTTGAAGGTATGTGAGTCTCTGACTATAATATGAAATCTGCTTTTATTCATGCTCATAAGTTTTCTGCTTTTAAAACTGGTCAAGATTACTGCCCCAATCAGTGTCACCTATATGCTCATGATCATTATTCATGTTTTAAAGACTGGATATACATTTTACATATGTACAATTTTCATTGCGTTAACAGTGAAGGTCTCCTGAGAACAACAGAAGATTAATAATCTTATAAATTGGCCAAACTATAAATAATCTCTGCCATACTCAATATTATATAAAAAATGTCATCCATGAAGCAGAAGTATTTCTTAATATTATTAGAATATTGAATAAAAAGTATGCCCAAATTCTGTGAGAACACTGAGCTCATCTGGAAGGTTAATCTTGAGGAAGAGAAAAATTCTTCCCCTTTGAACAGCCTGGTCTTGAAATGACAATTAGGTGAGAAGAATTTTTTAAATTAATCAACTGTCAAAAAATGTCCCTCTTCCTCAAGTAAAAACCTTACTTTTTAGTTACTCATCCAGAGTCTTATTGATCATTATAAAATACAGAATTCTTAATGACCTTCGTTATCTTCTCCAACCACACAAAAGTTAGAAATAGTTATCGAAACAGGACACTGTGAGGTCTCTCTGAGGGCAGATACACCCGGGGAGACAGACAGTGACAAGTGAAGGAGGAGCAGTCAGAAAGCTCACATAGGAAACTACCATCTCCTACATGAAAAACAACACTTAACACTGTTTTATGGGGGGAAATATTTTATTATGATAAAAAGAAATAAAAAATAAGGTTGGGAACTTTAAGCTAACAACCATCAGAAGATTTCACTGTATAGACTATCTCATTCTCCATCGAGACTGGATAAATAAAACTTTAATTTTGGTCTTACCAAACCCAGGATTCCATTTTCACTTTGCAGATGAACTGTGATATTTGGGCTGATGAAGTTGCTGGCCAGAAGTGGGATTCCTATGCCCAAATTAGCTGGGGAAAAAAGATGTTAAGGTCCACTGCAAAAATGGTAAATAAATTATGCCATAAATCTGCTACATATATAAACCTGAATGTCTGAATTTTAAAGGCATTTGTTCTAAATGTAATCACTGACTACATTCTCCCATCACCCTTCAGGCACTACTTTCCACTGTTTTTTTTAAAGAAAAATCTCTCAATAACATTACTATGCTTTCCCATAAAGATATCAAAGTAGTGGCTTCAGAAGACTAGCCAAAAGGTCATTTTTATTGTTAAGGCATATTTTATTTTCATTAATGTGCTTAGGAAATTTGAACTGATGTTATTACTACTTATTACAACTGATATATTGTTAAACATGCTTGACCTTTGTTTAAAAGTATTTTTCACTATTTAAAACTCCAACTAAGAATAATGATCTAATATTCTCAAAAAAGGCTATCATTTTTAAGTTAAAAAGAGTTTTCTGACAATACCAAAATGTCTGCCTAAAATTGTAATGATTCCTTTGGGCCAATGAGATAACATTCATTGGTGAGTGAATCTTCTCTAGGACATAAAGAAGGGGGAGGTGTGTAAGTTTCAGTGAATATAATTGAGACCATATAAAAAGTAGCTGAGCTAAGGCATCAGAGAGCTAACTCAGAGTGTTGAATCTCCTTCCTCAAATGGTCAAAACTGGGTCCCGATTTGTACGCAGTGGTGTAGATTTAATCTTGCCTCTCAACACAAGCAGCCTTATCAGACAGAGATATTCACACTGCCTGGAACTGCTGTCCATGCTTTCCTCGACCACGACATGTGAGCCAGAATTAGCCCACAGGATGATGGCACTCTGATGAGATTCCAGTAACAGTGAGATCTTTGTGAATCAGAGCCGGAAGAAATAAAGTTTGTATGTGCTGCCATATTACAGACTACAAGGGCTGGCAGGCCAACTCCATGAACCAGGTCACTGCTCACAGACACAGGGACTCGATGAAGGTATGACAATAGTTACTTGGTTCATCTGCTGCAAATCACAAGCTAGTGTAGTTTTTTTGTGCTTCATTCCTCACAGTGATGTACAGACCACACTGAGTTATTCTTCCCATTAGGAGTGAGTATTTTCAGAGAAGGCAACCCATATTACAAATGCTTTCATCATATTCTGTCATTTTTTCAGGACATGACACAGGATGAGCATTCCTCGATACTTTTTAGTGGGTCAAATGCCAGGGGTAAAAAGGTCTATGTACTCTGGGTTGAGGAAGAGCAGGTGATATGGGAAGACCATTTATATGAACTGACTTACAAATATTTTTCATAGTTAATAGAGTAACAGTGACTAAAGAACAACTAGAAGCCATTAGTATCTAAAATTAGTGTTATCATATAGTCAGTGTTTAAATGTCAATGGGAAACCAAATGACTAGAGGTGAGAAGAAACACCAGAGCCCAGCTTCTACCTTCTAAGTTAACTTGGTTGCCTATACACCTTGTTGATAGAAAAGCTGAAGAGCAGGCACAATTGTATTCTTCTCCCCTATGTGAACTCTCACCACAGCACAGGGCATAAACTGGAAAACAAAGAAAAGTGAGGTGGGGGGGGGTGGTGGTAAAAAGAAAGTAGAAAAAGAGAGTTTTCCCAGACAGTATCAGTCTGAAAGATGATATTCATGGACAGGGGAACTTGCAGAATGTAGACACTTGTCATGTTTCTAGTTCCTCCTGTCTGAAGCCTTTAAGTATGGCTTTAGTGTATTTACCATTCAACAAATACTACTTCTATTAAACACTATTTGTATTTATATGCATTACTTGTTATTAAATAGTTCAACGTTTGATGTACTGAAAACTAGCAAAATGGCAAAGAGACTCTCACATTCAAAATCTGAATAATAAGGGGCACCTGGGTGGCTCAATCAGTTGAGTGTCCAACTTCAGCCTTAGGTCATGATCTCACAGTTTATGGGTTTGAGCCCCATGTTGGGTTCTGTGCTGACAGTTCAGAGACTGGAGCCTGCTTCAGATTCTGTGTCTCCTTCTCTCTGTCCCTCCCCTGCTTGCACGCTCTCTCTCTCTCTCAAAAATAAACATTAAATTTTTTTTAATCTGAATAATAATTGTACAAAAGTATCTCAACCTTTCTCTTTTTTTGACAAAGTATCTAAAGCAGAATTTCAATCATTCATTGAATACCCTTACAAAGCATTGGACATAAAAGGGCGTGCTCATGGGATCTTTGTGAAAGGAAACAAGGGGTTGTTAAGAAGTTGAATCTTATGTTTCAATGAGTATGCAAATGTCAGAACACAGAAAAGGTAAATAGCACTGTTATAACTAGTACTTCTGAGATTTGAAACCCTCATCTTAGGTAATCTCTTTTCCCAATAACCTTTAGCCAAATGCCAAATTGTACTGAAATCCATTGTATATTAGAAAATAGCTAAGCAAACTTTAGTTGCCATTTTGTTTCAAGAGGGCAAACAGATCATAATTCTAATTTCATATATCTTGATATCTTTAGGTTATATGCCACATTCTGTAAAAATTGATCCATTGTTTTAAAAATTACAATGGACTAGGGGCGCCTGGGTGGCTTAGTCGGTTAAGCGTCCGACTTTCGCTTAGGTCATGATCTCGCGGTTCGTGGGTTCCAGCCCCGCACTGGGCTCTGTGCTAACAGCACTAAGCCTGCTTGGGTTTCTCTCTCTCTCTCTCTCTCTCTGTCCCTCCTTTACCCTCCCCTGCACATGCTCTCTCACTCTCTCTCTCTCTTTCTCTGAAAATAAAAAAAAATAAACATTAAAAACAATTAAAAAAAAAAAAAAAGAAAAGAAAAAGTGAGGGCTATGTTTCTGCCCATCCCAGAAAGATAAAGGATACCATACATGCCATCTTCAAATTCAAGAGCTGCCCGCTTGATGATACGTTCCCTTACATTATCTCCAGGTTTACTAGATTTGGTTTTTACATCTTCCTCTTTCCGGATTGATAAACGCTTTAAAATAAACAGATATAAATTATTCATGGTTGAGGTATATCTTGTATTTTTCACTGCTGAAGTCTAAAATTTTAATGGAAAAAAACATAGGTCTCTCCCATTACTACTATGAAGCAAATCTACAATATAACAGAGGTTTTTTTTCTACTTCCAATTAAGTTTATTTATTTATTTATTTTTTACAAATAGTTTATTGTCAAATTGGTTTCCACATAACACCCAGTGCTCACCCCCACAAGTGCCTCTCTCCGTGCCCATCCCCCCTCCCCCTCCCCCATCCATCAGTCCTCAGTTTTTGTCAGCATTCAAGAGTCTCTCATGGTTTGCCTCTCTCCCTTTCCCCCACTATTTCCCCCCTTCTTCTCCCACACGGTCCTCTGTTAAGTTCCTCCTAATCCTCCTATACGTGCAAACATGTGATATTTGTCCTTCTCTGCCTGACTTATTTCACTCAGCATAACACCCTCAAGGTCCATCCATGTTGCTACACATGGCCAGATTTCATTTTTTAACAGAGTTTTTTTAAAGACTAACATGGGTGGTATTTGATGGGAGAAATAATTTTTTTAGGAAGTGGAAGAGGCCAGATTTATTTGAAGAGGGAGATGTATCTGTTCTGTCTTTTTGAAGCAAGTAGCTCCTCTGCTGCTGTCACACTGACTGCTACTGCTATTAGTCTTGTGACTTCTACACCTGACTTCTCCTCAGGTGCTCCAGGATTGAGCCAGAACAAAGAACAAGGAACAGGCTTTGGGACTGTTTTTGCCCAGCTGTCAGAATGTGTTTGCCAGGTGTTGGTATTGCCAATTGTGTATTTCCACCTGCAGAGTCTGAACTGGTTTTGCTACAAGTGCATCACAGAAATCATAAAACTATCCAGAAACCAGCCAGAAAAGTACTTCCATTACTAACTCTTCTTGACATAGACTTTGGTTGCTATTTGCAAACGTCTCACATCCCCTCTCCTTAGCTCCCTGACCTTAGTTTTAGATTACAAAATGTCTTGCTGTTTGATGCAGGGTCAAGGGTATCTCTGATTCCCCAGTACCTCTCACTGCATGTCTATTCTGTTACTGACCCCTAGATAATGCTGAAGTTTGATACCAATTTTGTTCCAGCTGAGCATTCTTAATGATCTCAGTGGCCTTGGAACAATCTCCAATGCCCCTGACGCCTACTCCTTGCCATGATCTCATATCTACCAGCTGCCCAGAGCCCAACACTGAGGGGAATGACTTTCTCGACTTTATACACTACAAAGCAACTTCAAGATTGATAGACATTTCTGACTAAGAATCCAGCAGGGCTAAAGCCTTCCCTACCCTGTAGGACAGCCAGTAAAAACTATGCACTGTAATAAACTGAGACAGTTACAGAAGCCTGGAAGACACAGCCTAGAGGATCACATAACTTGGTGATATACAGTTTTGTAACCGCAAGGCACTATTGGGCTGGACAATAACACAGACAGTCATGTCCCCTTAGGATGGACACATGAGAAGCTCCTTCTAAGATCCAAAGCAAGACTTCTCATTCAGCTTTAATTCTCTACCATCTGGAATGGCCCCAGGGGCACATAATCTCTGATGACCAGATTCATAAATTCTAACAAAGAAGCTAAGTCAATTACCTCAATTCTTTTCTCATATTTTTCTCCCTTTATAAGGCGATGTACATAAATCTTAGGAATATGGATATCTTCTGGGGCAAATGATCCAATATCTACAATTTCTTCAACCTAGGCAAAGAGAAAAAAATTTAATTAGTGAGAGCTTAAACTGAACATTTTTTATTTTGAAAAAAGTGAAGTATATGCATCTTTACCTCCAACTTAGGTTGGATACACAATGTAAAATATATATGTATGCATATATATATACGTATATATGTATGTAAAAGAGAGAATATATATGTATATATATTCATACATACATATGTATGTATGTATGTACGTATGTAAAAGAAAGAACACTGCACACAGATATTTCTGGACCCACAAAAAAGAAGAAATTCAAATACATGTGTCTGAACCTAAAATATAGAACATAAAGCTCCAGAACTTAGTCTCTGCCTAAAAGAGCCTCAGTTACAAAGTTGTCAAATGGTTTCTCAGTACAGCTGCTTGAACTTTCCCAAATTGCAACTCAACTATGGAAAACTTGAAAGCACATCCCTTAAACCATGATTTTCAAAATTAATGGGAGATTTATCATATCAGAGACAAAAGTCTGTAACAACATCTGCTTGGTCAATTGAAGGGCTTTTTAAATATAGATACAAATGCTATTTGTAACAGTTTTTAATTATTTGTTATTAGCGTCCTACGATCATGATAGAACTGCAATTGCTGAAATAATTTTACTTAACGACAGATCATTAATTTCAATATGGAAATTCAAAAAGGAAAATATTAACTCATCACTAGAAATGCTCAATGTGATTAGAATTAAAGTCACTTACTGAGCAAAAGGGCATTTTATAGCAGCATGAAATCTCCTAGTTAGTCTGCTATTTCCTAATTCATTTAAAAAAGGACAAATGAAGAGTACACTGTATATACTGTAAGTTAACTAATTTGACAATAAATTATATTTACAAAAAAATAAAATAAACAAACATTTAAAAAAGATGTCAGCTGGGGGGAAAAAAGGACAAATGAAATAGTATCTTTACATCAACATAAAAGGAAACTCAGAATAACAATGATCAAGAAAAACTAAGGTCAAATTAAAATCAATGTTTTTGGTGCCAAAGTGCTATCTTTCTGGTGCCAAGAAAAAAATGTTATTTTGAAGATTATTGGGTCAGCTCAGTAGATGTCATATCCAAAGCAAAGAACTACCTGCTTAAATAAACTAACTTGTGCAAAGTCACTTGTATTAAACGTGCCTCCTAAACTAAGAACTGAACTCTCCAGAAGTCTTTGAGGTCAAGTAGCACTCTTTATGTTATTCTACCATGTATGCCCACACCACACTCCTCCTCCAATGAAAGAATACCAGGAATCACAAGAGTCATTTTGGTTATTGTGCACTGCTCCCAAATAGCTGAAGGAAAAAAAAAACAAACCCAGGATGTGGTAGACAAAAGCCATCTTCAATGATAATTAGAAGGCTCTTAAAGAAAATCAAACAAAAACTCCAAGGAAGAGTCAGTAAACATGTGGGCATCCAAGGTGACATAGTGGGTAGAGATGCATACCTGCATTCATCTGAAATTGAGTGACAGGGAGGCTAATCTGTATCTCCACTGTATATCACTGTAACCTGTATTTTCCCCCCAAAACTTCCCTACACTCCGGTAGTTCCCAATCAGAGTGGCAACCAGGTAAAGAAGAGTGGATACAGGAAATGCAAAACAGCTAAGTGTTATACTACCTCTTCAAAGCTTGGAACTTTTAGCCATCAGGGCTCATTGACACCTTTATACTTATCCAATTCAAGCCTTCAAAGAGTTTCTGGACTTTAAAATTTTGTTTATACATTAAGCCATTACCCTGAGGATATATATGAAGACTTATAATTCATTAAAATACTCGCCATACCATTTGTTACAATAATATTGAGTTGGAAACAACCTAAATCATTAACAATAGGATAATGGTAAAATATATACGGTATATCCACAATGATGGATCAATATTATGCTTTCATAATACTTAATGACATGTCGTGTTAATCTTTCATAAAAAGTAAGATTTTGTATGAATAAACATTTGTAGATATAGACATCTTTGGCACAATTATCTCTCTACCTACAAAAAAAACAGAAAGAAAAAAATACACAGAAATATTAATACTTATTATCTCTGAGTAACAGTACAAGTTATTTTTTTCACTTTATTTTGATAATCAAGGGGTGAAAAACTTACACTTTTTTAAAAAATACAATAGACACTAAGTATGTCATTTCCCAAACTAGAGAATGCGTAAGTGGAGGATATCATAAATTCCTTAAGTAGTTAGACATGTACCAAAAAGACACATTAAAAAAAAAAAAAGCAGGGAGACTCAAAAAACAAAAACAAAGCAAAACTGTGGTTTCTAAACTCTAAAAGCACTTACAACTTTTTGAAATGAAATAAGGAAACTCTTTTGACTACTTTTTTAAAGATAATGCCAATTATTCTCCATGCCTAATGCTGTTCCATAAGTCCAGGCCCTCATATCTTTTGCTTGAATGATTGTAGCAGCTTCCTAATTGGTTCCCCTGTCTTTGCCCTTCAGCAGGGACAAGAAACATAAAGAAAAATAATGATAAAATAATAATAATACTTATCATTTAAACCAGAAATGCAGATGGTAACCAGTCACTATTTTCTTCTGCTTCCAATTAAGGAAGTTTTGACAAAAAACACCGAGTTAAAATAAGGTTTCTTTACCAAGGGTAACGACATCATGACTTTCACAACCAAAAGGGAAAGCAGGTGTCCTGGTAAAACAACTGACAAAAAGCAGGAATCTGCATGAATGTCATCAGTTCTATGCTTTGTCATTCTTAGTAGAAGTGATTTTCATATTGTAGAAAATGCACGTATAGCATTTGTCAAAACAGTATCAACACTCAACAGTACTGAAAATTTCTATAAAAAAATCAAAGCTTTCTTAGAGTTGGTTAGCAGAGTTCATAGCAAAGGAAGAAACTATTTGAAGTACAAACCAAAAGAATAAAACATATGTTTTCAGAAAATCTGTGAAAAGAGTTTTAAAAAACTGAAGAGGCAGAACTATCTTAATGCTAGCTATTGAAGGGACTGAAGCCTTGTGTGCTGGCTTTGTGTGATTTTGAGAAAGAACAGTAAGGAAGAACCAACGTGGGGGAAACAAGTCTAGTGAGATCAGGCGATAACATAAGAGCTAAAGGAAATCTGAAGAGAAGAAGATGAATAAAATGAGCTTGTTAAGAAAAGTGAAAGTAAAAATACAAGCTCACAAGAACACTCACTAACAATGGCAGAAATGGAATTCCTGAAATCAGAAGTGGGGAAGAGAGAAAATAAAGAACAAAGAAAAAGTCTCAGTGCAAAGCAGTGAGCATATTTAAGTTAAATATACTCAAGATGGAGGAAAGGTAGCTAAGAACAACCCAGACCTCTGGCTGGCGCAAGGCACAGCTCTGATGTAGCACCATCTGGTTCATCTTCTAGAAGCTGAGACACTTGAGGCTTCTCTAATTAGTACTTGTCTTCAGTCATTAGCAGGAAAAGAGAGGCTAGGAAATGTTAATTATTATTGATTTGAACTTTGTTTTAAAAGGTTGCTTTCTCTGCCCTATACCCTTTCTATTTTATAATTCTGAAAACTTTTATTTTAAAGCTCAGACAAGGATAAGAACTCACCCCTGGGTGATAATGTCTTTGTTTTTACTTGGCAAAATATTATTTATATCTCAGGTAAGGGAATAGAGGAGCTACAAGGCAATAACTTTCTCATTCATTCATTCATTCTAGTGACAACGTGAATTGTGAAAGCCGCAAAAAATTGGGCCCGACTCTGCAAACTTCACTGTGATACTAGGTGAGAGCTGTTTGGGGAGGGAGGGGAGGGGTCACACTGCAGGTGTTTCTCCTGAGTCATTTAACTTTCAAAACAGGTTAGGATGAATTTCTTCTGGCAAGAAAGAAAAAAAGGCAACGACAGCTAGCAATAATGTCTAGAAGCATGAAAAACACAAAGTGACCCCAAATTAGGAAAAACTGTGGAAGACCAGAAAAATGGAGGAGGGAGGCAGTGGGCCATAACAAAAAACATTACAAGTTAGATGCAGAGGTGTTCTGGATGTCTCTGGGTTAGATGAAGAGAAAATGTGCAGAAAAAGGGAGGTCAGCATGCAGGGCACGCTTCCCAAGAATCCAAAGGAGCAAAACAAACAAAACCAATTAAAAAAAAAAAAAATCCAAAGGAGCAAGAAGGTACATATTGTATGAAGCTTCATGCTATGAGATGATAGAATTAGTGCAAAAATATACGACAAAATGACATAGAAGCTAAAAGGGCCTGGAAGTAATTACAAATGGTCTTAGATATCTATATATAAACACACAAAGACTGAAAAGATGAGTGGCTAGGCTATTAACAAATTTGCACCCTTAACAACAGGGGGAAATATGACTGTGTAGTCATGACTAAAACCTGGTTCACTGGATCTCATGCCAACAGATATTCTACAATGCCCAGTGAAAACAAGCTCACAGAAGAACATGCTATGTCAACTAAAATATACACATGCCTGAGAAGCCACAGACCTAGTGATGATATGTGGCAAAGTAGATTTACCATGAGTTTAAAAAGATAAAGAATATCACACTAATGGCCATATAATCAGAGTACTCACCAAACTAAAGACGTAGAGGATGTATTTTTAATAGGAGTGTCAAAGTGGCTCAGAAATAAGATAGTCCTATCATGAGAGACACTCATTATTTGAACATTTTTTGATCACCACATTTCTCTGAAAAATTCTACAATGCCTTCTGACATGTTCTATATTTCAAAATGAAAAAGTGAGAGAAATCATGATTCTGGACTTCTATCGGATAAGGATAACTGATAAGGATAAACTTGGTAAAGTAGAAATGATGGAATCCCTGAGAGAAAGTGACAATGTAAAATTGGAATTTGCAGTGGACTGGGAAGTGAATCCTGGGCATACACAGAAATGTATCCTGGTCTTTGAAGAAAAGCAGACTTGAAAACGTTGACAGGGGGAAAAAAAACCAGGATCAAGTGGTCAGACTCT